CATCACTGTTGTCTTCAAAACAAAATTCCAGTACTCTCTCTCTCTCTCTCTCTCTCTCTCTCTCTATATATATATATATATATATATGTATATATAAAACTCTATATCTCACGTAATGGATTTTTAAGTACCAAAATTTTCACTAATGACTTTGTGGATTTTAAATATCTTTCTTCCATCCTCTAATTCTGACCATTTTGCATATAATGCAAGCTCCTTTGACAGTCTCCTATCACAATGCCCCAAACTGCATGCCTAGGCATAATCATTTTTTTTGATTGTGCCAGTGTCAGTGAAGAAAAAAAAAAAAAGAAAAAGAAATGAAGAAGTTACTTTCTCATATGCTTGACAAGTTGATAAAACAAACAGTAAAATAGTGAAAGAGACATGAAAACCAGAGGTAAACTTGTAAGGGAAGGCAGAAGAAACATCCTTACATAAATTCATTTGCTTTCTTGGTTTTTGCCCCATTTAAGTCTTCCTTTTCTTGTTTACACACACCTCATCTCTCATAATTGATGTCACCTTCCATCTTTCCTAGCAACTCCAAGCTTCATTTCCATTCCTTTAAAATGTGGTTAGATTTTTTTTCTGACTTCATGAAGATCTACAAAGTTGTAAATTCTGACTGCCAACCTGGAAGTCATTCTCTTAAAGTTGCAAATGCAGACCTCAGTGAAAAGAAATACAGAAATTATGATTTTTATCAGTGTGCATAAATACCTCAGGGGAGGCAGCGAGGAGGAGGGGTCCAGCCTTTTTTCAGTGGTAGACAGCGATAGGACTAGAGGAAACGGCCACAAACTGAGGCACCAAAAGTTCCACAGGAACTTAAAAAAACACTTCTTGACAGTGAGGGTGACAGAGCCCTGGAACAGGCTGCCCAGAGAGGTTGTGGAGTCTCCTTCTCTGGAGATCTTTAAAACYCGCTTGGAYGCAGCCCTSTGCCACGTGCTCTAGGTGACCCTGCATGAGCAGGGGGGTTGGACTAGATGACCTCTGAGGTCCCTTCCAACCTTAAGCGCTCTGTGATTCTGTGATTCTGTGAGAGGTCAGCTTTCCCCGCAAGGTCTCTGTGTCAGTGTGCAGATTTGCAAAAGGACAATGTCAAAAGCTATATGCCAGGCTCTTCTGATACCTTTTTGAATTTCTTTTCAGTTTAATATTTGCATATATTTGTACTTGTGTGTTAATTTATTGCTAAGGTAGTTAAGTTAGAAATAAAACTGTAATCTCAGTAACATTAGCTTTTATAGTAGTTCAGATTTCCTTGATGTTTTTCAGATACAAGGTGAAGTACTGCTCCTGAGGTTGCTTTCATCTATTTTGTACACCTGCAACAAGTCAATAATGTGCTAGAGGGAGCGCAGAAAAGGCACCAGTATCACTGAAAGAAAGGATGGAGGTAAATTCAGGAGGAAGCATTCCTTTAAGTCATGGTCCTTCTGTGATATTCACTGATCATTATTTTGTGTTCTGAAATCAAATGGACTTTTTATTTGCTTTTGGTTTTGGCTTTACTTTTCATTATAAACCTGTTGTGTTTTGATGCCATATGTTCAGATCAAGATGAATTAAGCAAGTCAGAACATGTAGGGATCTGAGGGAAGGTGAACTGAAGCTTTCTGGGCAGCATTGTGAACAAGGGTGCAGCAGGGGCGATATTGTAGAGTTACAAGCGAAAGGAGATGATAGAATGCAAATGCAGTGGAGTGTAAGAGGGTTTCTGAAATATGAGTTTCAATACAATTCTTATGTAACTAGAGAATCCAGGAAGATAACAAGACTACTACAAAAGCATCTTAATAAGGCAATTCAAGGGATAAAGTGGTGTGTCAGCAATGAAAGGGGACAGTATCTGACTATTTTCAGCATGTCAGACAGATGAGAGAGAACAAATGTGGAGATCAGGAAGAAGTAAGCAGATGTGGGGCCAGAGATAAATAAAAGATTAAGAGGTGGAGATAGATGAAATAAGAGCTGTATTTTTTAATATCAAACCATTGTGTGAACTATCCTTAGAACTGGAGAATAGATGAAGGTGAAATTCAGTATTTGTGGGATATTTTGTATCCTTCAGAATAAGTCTCTGTCTAAATATGTAACAGACAGATATTTTTTGAGCAGAGTGAAATCTAGATTTTGTTACAGCAAGCTTCAAAGTGATGAATTTCTAAGCTTTGAGGTTCCTGCTTTTTTCAGGAAAGAAGTAGGCAAAATGTAAAAGATTCCCTTTTCCAATGGGAATGCTTTAAGACCTACTGAGAAAAGAGTCTCAATGTGTGTCCAGTAGTGATCTGAATACTGGTGGTGATTTTGCCATAACTGTAGTAGTTAACTTGTATCCCTGTATCTAAAGGTTCCTTTGCTTTTAGTTGAATATTATGTAAACATTGGATGTCTTTGTAACAGTGACTCAAAGAAGCTAGAGAACTTAGTTGCCTGTCTTAGGTGATTAATTTCCTTTCTGTGTCTTTATATATATGCCATGCTATCCTTGCCTTAATGTTTGGGCTATAGTCAGGAGGAATATGCACAACATAATGACTGCTTCCAGCTGACTTAGAGCATCTTGAAGCACAGCTCTCCTCTTCCTTTCCCAGCCAGTGTTGTTCATGATGAGAATTTACAAACAGTGAAACAATTAATAAAATACAGGAGTTTTAATGGTCAGTGCTGAAATTAACCATTATAGTTCAGTCTGTACATATTTCATGTGCTTTTCTGTGGATCAGCTAGTCTAAGTTGAGTAACAACATTACTGTTGTTCGCTCCCAGGTTCACAGGATGTGGTTGTTGCTTGTTTGACAAGCAGGGAGGGATGGTGGTGATTAGGTTAGCAGAGTCTACAGGGAGCATCTATCAGCAGAAAGCATACAGCAGCAATAAGATGATACAGATGCCAATAATGCCACCCAAAATGAGAGAATCTCATGATTTCCAAAGGTCAAACCTTTGAATCAGGCTGTTCACTGCAGGAAACCAATTAGCCAAGGTATTCATTGATGCTCTTCTGACTTACTGCTGCTCCTCCAAAATCCTCTGCTGCTCCTCAGATCTGTGTGTGCTCTCTCAGAAGCTTCGCTGTCTGCTAAAATATCTCCTCGGACTTTTAGCCTTTGTTTGTTTTGCCTCCAATGTGCATAGCTTCTTGGTAAGAACATGTTCTAATGTTCAGTAAGCCTATGACAGTTAAAAGCAGTATGTGTTCATGTTTGCCATTTTCTCATGTTTTAGGTCACTCTTTTTATAGTAAGAATTAGTTCACTATTGCAAACTCTGTAAACACCTCCTGTGACATTTCTTTTGTTGCTTATGTCATTACTTCTGGCACTCCATTGCTTGTGTATCAGCTTAAAATAAATGTCTCATTTCCAAGCCAAAGTTTTATTCATCTGCTGCTGCAAAATTGTTCACAAGTCTCCCTGAAATGTCCTCCCAGTTTTACACTGTCTTGTCATGAAGATAGCTAGGAAATTCCAAATGTATTAACAAGTGAGAAGAGGGCTTATTCTTTTCTGAAATTCTAATTACTAGAAGTGTATGTAAAACATTCTTTTTTTCTGACATCTTGCTGTTTTAGTCCCTAATGCATCTATGTTGTTTTTTCTCTCGAAGCTACCCATAGGCTTTTTTTTTAACATTAGAAAATTTTGATATCGTGAGAAAATGTACCTTGCTACTAACCTTGCCCAATTTTCATGGAGTTCTCTATTTATCTGTTTGGTTTCTCCTCCCTATCTGGCCTTCCCCACTCTGTCTTCTGTTTCCTCCAACCACTTGTTCATCAGGAAGGTTGTTTACATGTTTTCTTAAGCCATATATTGCTGTGAAGTTGCTGTTCTCCTCCCAAGATAAGGATGATATAGATGTCTTATGTATTTAGAGACACCTGTAAAACATTTGTTTCTGATACTCGGACAATTTCAACAGACTGAGGCATCAGTTTTCTGAAGTGCTTTTTGTAGATATTTCTGTACCATCTCTAAAGGTATTTGTGAAACTTGCCTTTCGGGAAGGACTGACAAGTCACCTAGATAAGTATATACTTGTTAAAAACACATGCACAGAGGTTCTAGATCTAGTTATAAAGAAAAATACTGTTATTATATTACTTTTGCTATATATAATCTGTATTGGATTTACAGCCTTTTTCTCCCAGTATTATGGTATGATCATGCAGTCAAAGAGATATTGTCGAAGAGATAGTGGAACAGGCTGCCCAAATTGGTTGTGGAGTCTCCTTCTCTGGAGGTCTTCAAAACCGCCGGAATCTGCCCTGTGCAACATGCTCTAGGTGTCCCTGCTTGAGCAGAGGGTTGAACTAGATGATCGCTAGAGGTCCCTTCCAGCTGCAACCATCCTGTGATTCTGTGACTGCAAGGCTAATTACCTTAAGTTGATATACTCAGAAAATTTCAAGACTCCCGTATTGTGTTTTCCTCGATAGAAGGAAAATATGGAACTAGAATCAGTATTAAGTAGTATTATTTACTTTCTCAAATGTCATGTGTAAAGTTAAGTTTGAACTTTTGCAAATTAATTATAACAATTCTTGGTGAATCATTCACCAATCAGACATTGAGATACTGTATTTTTTCTTCCATACTTTTAATTGAGGAAGGGAAGCAGGAGGATAAACTTCATATTAGTCCTGAATCAGCACTACCATACAGCACAGTTATGAACATACTTGAGACGTTGCAACATCTTTAAAGAACTGGTATGTCTAACTAGAGACTTAATTTCTCTGTTTTTTTGACTGAAAATCTACAGCTTAAATGATAGATTAAACTCTTTAGAGGCTTTGGAGTATTTCAGACTGAAAAAGGATCACAGGTGAGATGGCACATATTGTAACTTATGATTAGAACCATAGAAACCAGGTAATTATTAAAATTTTTCTTTGCAGTCTACTTTTTTCAATTACATCTGATTTTATAGGGAAGCATGAGTATATTTTGAGTTCTCTTTCCTGTCTTCCTTTCCTATAGAAAGAACAAGAATTTGGGTCAATACCTTTTGTACTTCCTTTATTTTCTACGAACTGTCTGCACTGACTTTATACAGGTAAGATGACATTAGAGCAAGTGTCTATATCTCTACTAGACACTGCCTTTTCTGACTGCTATGTCCTCTTCTGACCTCTGTTTTGGATCTAGGTGATGATAGGAACCTCTCTGAAGCTGCTTCGGGTGACCTCTGAAATTTCTGAGAATGTCTAATCAAACCACTCTCCAGAATGATGTATTGAGCCCAAGATTTCCCTTACAGCTACTGTATTATTGTGAGTGTGAAGCATTATGCAAATGAGAACATAATATCCATATTGCATATAATTAGATTTCAGATTCCCCCCCCACTTAGCAGTATGGTAGCAGTGCTGGTGACAGAAATCTTGGTAAAACTGTCAAAAAAAAAAAATTGAACAAATGACTCAGAAGTGCAAGCATGCCTATTGGGAGGAGAAAGTTCAAGGAATTTTCATAGACACAATTATTATATTATTCTCTATGATCTGTGTAGGTTTTGTCTCATCCACTCAGACTGCTAATTATTTGAAAGTGCATCTACAAACTGATATTGAGATCCAGAGTATTTGTTGTATCCCTGTACTGACAGCTGGAGTAAATGGACATAGATTTTGTGATCTTGATGAACAGATAAAACAATGCCATTGCAACAAACCAGTAACTTTTCAAGCAACATTGGAATTGTGTAGTTGAACCCTGTGCATGTAGCAGGAAAAGTTACTTCTGTAATCTTAATTCAAATACAGATCAACATTCACAGTTACAACCTTTAATTATGGGAGAGCATATCACTTTTTCTCAGTATAGAAGTCTGGGGTATCTAATGCTAGCATAGCTGTGGTAACAGATAAAGGCTCTTTTGACCAAGCGGAAAAAAAAAAGAATGTAAGGCTGCTCAGTGTGAGGAGTTAATACAAGTTAAACACACAGACCAGACTTGGCTGTCACTAGTTTAGTTTCAGTGTGAGCACTTCCATAGAAAAAGCAGAGGAGTGCTGTTGGTGGACATATGGGCTACTTCTTTGCAATATTCTTTTCTGATGAAGAAAAGACATGAAAATTAAGTGATTGCTCTAGGAATCTGAGGTGCAGCACAAAATATTAGCATGTAGTAGTAGTAATAGCCTAAGTAGTATAGTAGTAATATAGTAGTAGTAGTAGTAGCGTAAGTAGTAGCTTAACAAGTTTGATTAATGACCCTCTCTTGCTGTCTCTGTAGGAGTTTTGTGATATCCCTCAGCTGTGAGTGGGTCCTCTAGCAGCCCTCCAGTGCCCGGTGGAAGCCACAGTTATGAAGAGAAACAGTGTGCGGATGTACCAATGCTGTGGGTGGCTGCATACGGGGAATAAACAGAGTTGCATAAAGCACATCTCGTACAAACATGATTTCCTCATGTTCTTAATTTTGACTCCTACATAATGATGTTCTGTGTTGGAATTTGTGACTACCTGACTTTAATTTAAAAAGGATAATTAGTAAGACTGGAAAAGGAATGCTGAAGAGCAGTGAATTGTGGGGATGGGGGAATGCTGTGACACAGGGGGAAGGAGTACCTGTTTCAATTAGCTTCTATTGTTTAAAACATCTGTCTGAAATGATCTTGAACTCCAGTACACCTAGAGTCCTACTCACAGTAGGCACTTTTCAGCAGGAAGGAAGGAAGATCATCCACTATCCATGGTACCTTTGCTATTCTGTGTAATACACAGTATACATCCATTGAATGCTGGAGAGAATCACTGCACCGTATTCTACTGCTGAAGTAGATGCATGAGATTTAGGCGTCTATAAGGTATGAGAATTAGGCCTGTGAGCAAACGATTTTTTTTTTTTTTTTGCTTGGTTTTGTCCTTATTCTAGTACTTGATCTCTGAAGAGTAGGATCAAACTCTTTAATATAGTGTCTCAGTTTTGTCACTTTTAAGATAGCTGGGGGTTCAGGGTTTATTGGCATGTGAAAGATAAAATTAGCTTTATACTCAGCTGGGTGTAACAGCAAACTTGATTCCCATGATGTTGATGATGTTGAAGAAGTGCAGAGTTGGATGAAAGCATGATGAAAAACTGTAAGATGCATCTTCCAGTGCTGGACTTTCAGAACCTCATTTGTTAAGCATTATTGCAAAGAAGATTGAGAGGTGCCTAGGTGAATGAAGTGTGCAACTACTGTTATGAGAAAAAGAAAATGCAGGACTCTTAAAAGATCCTTTAATTTTACAGAGCAGCATAGCAAGAATCAAAGTACTGAAAAGTCGAAGGCAGACAAACCCATATGAGAAAAGTTACATATATTTTTAATGGGGAGAGTGATTGACTACTGCAATAAACTGACAGAGTCTTGAAGTTTTCAAGTAAAGACTGTGATGCCTCCCTGGATGATGTACTATAGCAAAATAAGACATGTTGGGCTTGGAGCAGAATTGACAGGCTTACATGGTATAGCAGATGAAAATAAATGATCTAGTAGTTATTTCTGACTTTAAAATAGGGCTGTACATACATATCAGATCTCTTCTTTCATATGCAAATAGATGCTAATTTTTAAGTAGCAAATACAAAACCATGTGAGTAGATTATATAAATATATTATATATTTACATCTTTGCAAAGTACACACAAAGCTGACACATGCAGTTTCTATTGATTTAATTTACATACAGAGTAAAAACAGCTTGTTTTCGAAGGTAACTGTCAAAATGGAAACTACTCCTCAGAAACACCTTCTGTATTTTCAGCATCTGTAGTTACTTACATTTATATTTTTGCCACAGTTAATATAGTAGTAGAATTAGAATCAGTGTTCAAAAGCTCATGTTTTGGATCTGAAGAAAGGGTACCTGTCCAGGGACCCTTCCAGTGTCCCAGGATGGGAACTTTATGAAGGGCGGTGTATTCATTTTAGGTCATGTGTGTTTTTTCTTTTAATATCAAAATGTGATCTGAAATAAATGAAAGAGTCACATAAGACTCGTAGTTGGAGAATTTTAGAGAGGCTGCTTTGCATATTTATAACTTGGATGTGTTTTTGCAATTATCTTGGATAGAAAATATGCATAAAGTCATATGCTTCATGAAAAAAACTCAAAAGAAGGCTGTTATTCTGTCTTATCACATTGCCTTCATTACCTTTTCTGTAGTAAAATAATATTAGAAAGGATATCTTCACTAGTAGTAGCTGGCATCACTATTGCAGTCTAAACTACAAACAAATAAATACATGGAGGAGCAGGAGAGGAATTACGGTTGGATTATGGGTTTATGTTTGCACTAAAGGCGTACTGTTGGACTTGATGATCTTGAACGTCCTTTCCAACCGTTTTCATTTTATGAATTGGCCATGAGTAGAGAGAAACTGAAAGACTGCACATTTGTGACTACATATGTGTGTATATGCCTATACAAATACACAGGTTGAAAGTTTCTGCATAAAAAAAAATAGTAATTGAAAATATGGGCACATGGAGGAAAGCCAGAGGTGAAAAGAAAATATATATTTTTTTACTCACTTCATATTCTTTTACTCTCACTAACAAACTATCAGTGATAGTAGTCTCCTCTCATATTCCATGTGATGTGGATAGGTAGGTAAGGGGACATGCATAAGCAGCAGCATCCCATTGCCACCCCTGGTGACATTTTATCCTGCAGCAAAGTCAGTCTTATTTGTTGCCAGTGCAGTGCCTCTGTCCAGGTCTGTTGCAGCAATGCTTCTGGTCACGTCTGTGCTCCTTCTGTCTGCTCTTCGATATATGTTCTGCTGAGCAGCTGTGCCTGGTTGTGAGAGGAGCAATGGGCTGCAGGGTAGCAGGGAAATTTATTTCCACTCCAGGATCCATGTTCAAGGAATCTTTTGAGGATTCTTTTTACCTTAGTTCAAACCTAGCAATGTGGCCCTTCTCCTGTCTTGTAACTTTGCCCAATACCTGAAATCTGTTGTTTCCTCCACCAGCAAATTGCCCCATGTATTTTAGGTGAATAATGTCTGCCTTCACATCCAAATAATCACAGAATATTTGAGGTTGAAAGGGACCTCTAGAGATCATTCAGTCCAATTACCCTGCTCAAGCAGGGACACCTAGACCACACTGCACAGGGTCATATCCAGGCAGGTTTTGAAGATCTTGAGGAAAGGAAACTCCACAACCTCTCTGGGCAGCCTGTTCCAGGGCTCTGGCACCTTCACAGTAAAGAAGTTCTTCCTCACATGCAGATGGAACTTCCCATGTTTCAACTTGTACCCATTATCCCTTGTCCTGTCACTGGCAACCACTGAGAAGAGTTTGACCTCCTCCTCCCTACATTCTCCCCTCAGGCATGTACATATTATATCAGGTCTATACATATTGAATCAGATCTCCTCTCAGTCTTCTCTAGGCTAAACAGACCCAACTCACTTAGTCTTTCCTCATATGAGAGATGCTCCAGTCCCTTAATCATCTTTGTTGCTCTATGCTGGACCTTCTCTAGAAGTTCCACATCCCTTGTATACTGGAGAGCCCAGAACTGCACACAATATTCCAGGTGCAGCCTCACCAGAGCTGAGGAGAGGGGCAGGATCACCTCCCTCAACCTGCTGGCAACACTCCTCCTGATGCAGGCCAGGATCCCACTGGGCTTCTTGGCCATGAGGGCACATTGCTGGCTCAGGGTTAACTTGTTGTCAACCCTCCCAGATCCTTCTCTGTGATGCTGCTTTCCAGCAGGTCAACCTCTAGCCTGTACTGGTGTTCGGAGTTTTTCCTCCCCAGATGCAGGACTCTGCAGTTGTCTTGTTGAATCTCGTGAGTATCCTCATCTCATCTTATGAGGTTCCTCTTCCTTCAAAGAAAAAGTTGAACAACACTGTACCCTGCGGGGCACCGCTGGCCACAGGCCTCCAACTAAACTCAGCCCCATTTATCACAACCCTCTGAGCTCTGCCATCCAGCCAGTTCTCAATCCACCTCACTCTCCACTCATCCAACCCACACCTATGAGGATACTATGGGAGACTGTGTCAAAAGCCTTGCTGAAGTCAAGGTGACAAACAATACCCTCAGCTTTCCCCTCATCCATCCAGCCAGTCATCCCATTGTAGAAGGCTATCATGTTCATCAAACATGAATTCCCCATAGTGAATCTGTGCTGACTACTCCTGATTCTCTCGATCTCTCCTGATACTCTTTTCCTTGACATACCTAGTGATGGACTCTAGGATGAGCTGCTCCATCACTTTTCCAGTGACAGATGTGAGCCTG